GCCCCCGTTCTGCGGGTGGAACCGGACACGTTCCTCCACAGAAGGAGCTCCGTGTGCCGCTGGAGACAAAGCCACAGAGCTCACGGGGCACATGTCACCACACAGGGGTTTGATCCTGATTTTGGCGTCACTCTGTTCCTAAATTCTCGTGTTTTCAGAGTTAAGTGTTTTGTTACACTCGTGTTCCTTCTAAAAATAAAATTATTAGTGAAAATAAAATAAATGTACAGCTAACTTATGTTGTGGCAGTAGCACAATAACAGACTGAACACCTTCACCTCCGTGCACCTCTGGACAAGAGAGGAGAAAGTGGGGGATTTGGGAAAAAAAATCAAACTGCCCCTGGGAGCAAAGAACTGATCGCCCAAGAGGCTTTAAATGAGAACCTGGGAACTGGGCTAAGCACCTGAGGACACTGGTGAACAGAATCACAGAATGGGACCTCAGGAGATCATCCAGTCCAACCCCTGCCAAAGCAGGTTCCCTACAGCAGGTTGCACAGGAAAGTGTCCAGGTGGGTTTGAACATCTCCAGAGATGGAGACTCCACACCCTCTCTGGGCAGCCTGTCCCAGGGCTCTGGCACCCTCACAGTAAAGAAGTTTTTCCTCATGTTTAAGTGGAATCTCCTGTGTTCCAGTTTGTGCCCATTGCCCCATGTCCTATCGCTGGCACCACTGAAGAGAGTCTGGCCCCATCCTCTCGACACCCGCCCTTTAGATATTGATAAACATTGATAAGGTCCCCTCTCGGTCTTCTCCAGGCTAAACAGACCCAGCTCTCTCTGTCTTTCCTCATAAGAAAGATGCTCCAACCCCTTAATCACCTTGGTGGACTCTCTCCAGAAGTTCCCCATCTCTCTTGAACTGGGGGGCCCAGAACTGGACACAACACTCCAGCTGCAGCCTCACCAGGGCAGAGTAGAGGGGGACAGAAGTGGGAGTGGGATGGATATTATGGCTAAATCTCACCCTTCAAGGGCATGAGATTCCCGACACGGCGATGGGATCCTGCAGGGCACAGGTAAGGAGGACAAAGACCTGGGGAACAGCACGCACAGAACTGTCCTGCTCTGGGCTTGAACTGCTCTTTCCTATGACTAATGTCATGACAAGGATCTCATCCAGCTCATTACTTTAAGTGGAAGAAGTGGGAGCAAGGCAGCGCCTGGAGCTGGTTGTTCTTCTCCCCAATGGACTCTCCACACATGCCACAGTACAGCTCCATCTCCTCCACGCATTCATGGAACTTCACTACATGGTCACGCAATTCTTGCTGCTGCCCCTTTGAGCGATAGATCCTTTCACACAGGCAGTGGAGCTTCAGCAAGCCAAGCTGCACGTGAAGGGTGGAAACATAAGAAAAGTGAACAACAAGGTGAAGAGAGACCAGTAACAGGAGGAGAGGAAACCACTACAGCCCATCAGCCAGCTAGAGAAACATCAGCACGGAAAGCTGCCCGAGGGATAGGATCAGTCATAAGGACATTTGGCCACTCAGCACTTCCTGCCATTAACCTACTGCTCCGTGTCACCAAAGGGGACACCAGGTTTGAGGCACTCTTGCAGCTCTTTCATCAAGGTGGTTTTCCTGAGCTATCCATGACGTACGCTGCATTTCACCTCCCTTTGCCTCCAGCCAATGCACAGTTCAGCTGCTGCTCAGGGTAATAATTTTCAAGAAGGGACCCCTAATCCTCTAGCTCTCTGCGGCTCTCTGCTTGTTTCATATCCCATTTTTACTGCTTCCCATTCCCCTTTGTTTATCCCACAACTAAACACTTCATAACAAAGCAAGTCCCAAGCATGGACTGGTTAACATGGACACATTAATAAGCAATAGCAAGTCTGGATACTTTAACGCTTGGTTTCTTAAGTTGCCTGACAGAAGACTACAGACAGTGCTGAAGAGAAGCTGTAGGATCCTACCTTGTTCCCTAGTCCCTCTGCCAGCTCCTGTGCCTTTTCAATGCTTTCCAGAGCCTGTGAATGGAGAGCACGCATCATCAGTTCTCAGCCTGATAGAGCACAAACAGACTTGTGTGAATGCCCTATGGCAGTTATCAAAAGAAAGAGGGAAAGATGTACAGAGTAGAATTTGGATAAACAAGCATCCCTGCAACTCTGGAGATGCAAGAGAGCTGTCTGGCAGATTGCGCTCCCCTTCCAGAAGTTCATCCATGAGAAGAGCTTGGTTTCTGAAAGACCACAAATAATTCAAGAGCTGCATTTCTGTTCCAGCCACACCAAGCAAAGTAGGGGTATGATGTTGGCAGAGGCTGAGAGAATACAGACTTACTGAAACCCAGTCACACGTGGTAATCAGGGCTGGGATGAAGCACAAGAAAAAGCAAGCCTTTTCTCCATCCTGCCCTACAGGTTCAATAATCTTTGGGCAACTCTAATTTCACTTGTACAAGAGGGAAGGGAAAGGAATCAGCACTACCAATGCACCACGC